AATTTTCATGTGTATTATTTAGTCAAATAACAAAATTGTGGGGGGAAGGCAGCAGGTATAGCTCAGTGATAGAGCGCTTGTCTAGCACGTGCAAGGTCTTGGGTTTGATCTCCAGTACTGCCAAGATAAAAAGACAGTAGAAAGAAAAATACTTTAGCACCACATAAGAAAATAAGCATCACTATTTCAGTGTCACTGTACAGTCAGAAAAATGACTCTGAAACCAAACAGTCTGTGTTCTTCTAAGGCACACTTATGGGTGTGGGGGGTGTCTGATTCCAGGGTGACGTTGTCTTCCAAGTTTCCCCTTTAAGGATAGACTATTATTTGAAGTTACTTTACCTCGGTCTCACTCTTTCCTTTCCTTCCTTCCTTCCTTCCTTCCTTCCTTCCTTCCTTCCTTCCTTTCTCTTCTTTTTAAAACAGTCTCACTATATAGCTCTGGCTGTCCTGGAACTCCCCAGGCTGGCCTTGGACTCACAGAGATCCACCTGCCTTTGCCTCCTGAGTGCTGGTATTAAAGGTGAACACCACCACTGCCCGGCCACTTATTTATTTTTTTTTAATCTTATTTTATTTTATTTTTAGTGCTGAGAATTGAACCCAGGGCCTAGTGTATGGTAGGCAGGCACTCTACCACTGAGCATGCTTTCAACTGACCTCAGTCTTTCAAAAGATTTACTCTCAAGACTTAAAAAATTCATTATGCGCCGGGCAGTGGTGGCGCACACCTTTAATCCCAGCACACGAGAGGCAGAGGCAAGCGGATCTCTGTGAGTTCGAGACCAGCCTGGTCTACAGGAGCTAGTTCCAGGATAGCCCCCAAAGCCACAGAGAAAACCTGTCTCGAAAAACCAAAAAAAAAAAAAAAAAAAAAAAAAAAATCATTATGTGTCTCTGTGTGGGTATGTACATGTGAATGCTGGTACCCACAGAGGCCAGGAGACAGGGTCAGAGCCCCTGGAATTGGAGTTCCAGGTAGTTGTACGTCATCTAATGTCAGCGATGGGGACCAAACCTGCAAGGGTAACAAGCACTCTTAACCCCGAGCCATTTCTCCAGCCCCTAAGATTTACCTGGGATTGAGTTTGTAAACATGATCTTATCTAGGCCTTGCTGTGATTTCACTGCATCAGCTCTTCAAGATTGCCTCTCCTTCTTTTTTTAAATCAAAGCTTCTAAAATGTAAGGACTTCAGTGATTGTTAAAGATATAAATCCCACAAGACAAAATACAAAGCGTATACTAACACATGAAACATACTCCACCTCAGTGGCAAAGCATTTTCCTATCCTTCTCAAAGACCTAGGTTTAATTCCCAGCCTCACAACAATAAAAATAAAAAATAATAAAGAAAACACCTCACCTCAACAAAGAAATGAAAGGAAAACCCTTATCCAATTAGCAATTCATTCAAAGCTGACTCTCGGCAGACCGAGAGTCTCCTGAAGTTTGCATGTGTTTATATTACTGGCTAAAATAGAAACCAACCTTTTTGTGAAGCATTATGCCAATTTATCTAGCAGTTAAAAATATTAATGTTGGGGCTGTGGTGCAGCTCAATGCACTTGTCTAGCATGTCTGAGGTCCTGGGTTTGGTTCCCAGTATGGTAAGAAAAAATATTGCTACCTTTGGGTCAAGTAGTCATGTGCTTGGGAACTGGTCCTCAGGAAATTTTCTGAGGAAGAAGAAAGACCTATGTGGGAAGGTCTTTGTGGCAACTACATCCATTTGTTTTAGTCTGTTCTGGCTGTTATAACAAAACACCATAAACTGGAGGCTTAAACAATTGCGTTTATTCCTCACAATTCTGGAGTCGAAAAGTCTGTGACTAGTGTGGAGGCAGAGGCAGACACTGGGGACGTCTGTCTTCTGGGTTTCAGAGTGTCATTTTCTCACTGTATCCTCTCATGGTAACGAGAGAGATAGCTGGCCCTCAGGCCTGCTCTTACAGGGGCACTCACTAATCCCATTCATAAAGACTCCAGACTCACCACTAATTACTTCCCTGAAGTAAATTACTTTGGAACACCATCATGAAGGGATTAGCATCCAACATATAAATTTTAGTAAGACACAAATACTCGGTCTTTACAATATCAAAGTCAGAAGACAATATGCTGGCAAGAACAATGGCTCAGACTCAGGCACCTGGGTGTGAGGGCTTGGCTTCATCATCTGCCCCTTGGGGTCTGTGTGGCCTTGAGTGAGTGATTTGATCTTCCCTCTGCTGCAATGGAAGAAGAGAAATGAGCTAGAGGAAGTCCTGTGGGCCAGATCATGAAGGCTCTGGACGGCTAAGCCGAAGACTCTGGGCTCAGTGCAGTCGGCAAAGGAAACCTTATAGGTATTTTTTGATCAGAGCTATGCATCAGGAAGATTAACCTGGCAGTGCCATGCAAAATGAATGGACGGGGGCGGGGGCGGTGAAGGCAGAGGTGGGGAGACCACTTAGACAGTTTCTGCAGTAGTCTACATGAGAGGCAATGACTAATTAAATGAAACAGCTCAAATTGTGTGAGTACCTTGTGGGTGATGAGCCATTATCATAAATCTTCGGGCTCCCCGCAGCATCTGTCTCCTAGTCGGCACTGAGCAGAAATATTACAGAATAACATCTTATATTTCTAGAGCCCTTTATAGTTCAAAAAGTGCTTTCATACGCATTATCTCATTTGATCTTCGAGGGTGTTTACAAGTTGCTCTCTGTGAAGGATGTTTGCTAGCTATTGAAATTGGACTGAGAAGTTTATAATTTCCAGGGTCCATCCTTCTCTCCTCCTCCATTTAGCTTCCTTCTGCTCAGTCATTTCATTTCACAATAGCAAAAGGGGGGGGGCATGCTGAGCACACCAGGCTCCATGCTTATATCCCTCTGAGGCAGGTAAGTCATCAGTGCGCTGGCTTTGAGTGTGCTCGGTTTATTTAATCATTTGTTCTCTCTCTGATCACAGTGGAGTTTCACCATATGCTGTCCCTGAAATTCTCAGCACGCTTGAGTGAGAGCCCACGAGGGGAGCCAAAGCCTCCCTCCCCCCAACTCCAGTCCCTCCCCCATCCCGGCATCAAGTCATGTAGAAATGAGTCTCTAGACATTGGGTTAGTGGAGCTCAGGGGGCTGAAGGCCTTGGTCTTCCTGACTCGGGGCTTCTTTGGCTTTCCAGAGGCACTAATGAGTAGGGCTGAACGGTAATTAAGACTGTGCTCAGCTCCACATCACGCAGCGCAGCTGCAACCAGTAGAGGGGAGGGGAGGAAGGACAGTAAGGATGCCCTCTGCCTTCTCTCTGTGCTCAGAGCCTGCTCTCTAGGACATTCTGAAGGTGCGGTAAAGCCATGGGGTGAAAATGCAGCTTAGAAGACAGCTGCCTAGGTCTGTACCAGTTAGACATTGCTGCTCCAGCCCTTGTCCCAGGCAGGGTGTCAACAGTTTTCTCAGTGGTGAGGAGTCACCTGCCCTGCAATCTGCCTGGCACTGGATGAGTATGTAGGAACAAGCTGCGGTCTGAGAAGGGCAAGGATGCATGACACAGACGCAGGATCCACACTGCCTGCAAGTGTGCCTGTTGTCTCTGGGAAGTCTGGGCCAACATCATTAACATGTCAGTGAGTGACACTCTGGACTCTGGAGATCTACAGGCCCACTTACTCACCGCTCACTTCAACAGAGGGGCAGGTGCGAAGACAGTAACAAAGGAAAAGTTCCACAGGGTGGGGTCACAGAATTGCTAAGGCAACTCAATGGTGGCATTTTGGGGGCAAAGGGAATAGAATAAGCAAAGCATAGAGCAAGAAGCAGGAAGTGGCCTGTCTTGGGTCAGTGAGCGGAAAGCATATGTGACAGGCTTGGTCTGAAGCAGGCATGGGGGAGAGGGTTGACTCTAGTGAAGTTATCAGAGGCCAGGGGCTGGCAGGAACGATAGCTGGGATGTCCCATGTTCCCTGCCTACTCCCATCAGGGAAGCGGCAGATGCCGTCAACCTTATGGTTGCATTCTCTGAGAAGCTATCCCAACCCAGGGTGCTGAGCTGGAAGGAGGGATGAGAGATGAGTAAGGGCCTGACAAAAAAGACAGCTGGAGGAAGGACATTAGGTAGATCAGAAAAGGAGAGAATCAAGCAGTGGGCTCAGGGCCACTTTTTGTCACCTGTAGGGAAGCAAGCACACTAGGAGATCTTGAGATCTCTCCATGGATGTGACTTAACAGCTTAGATCCCCAGGAGACTGTGTGTTCTCCATGGAAATCACCTAAGTGTGCTATGTAGCCTTCTTGCCTCCCTCTTCAGAGGCTGCAGGCCATCTTAGGCACCATAATGGGTTCCTAAATCTCTGTCCCAATAGGAGAAAGAAAAACTCCTTTACTGGTAGGAGGTGGGGAAAAGCCTGGGAGTCCAAGTCCCCTTCACATTCACCATATAACCAGTTAGGCTTCCTGTCTTTCATCAGAGAAGTTGGCATTTCTCTGTCTGTCTGTCTGTCTGTCTGTCTGTCTCTCTTAATCTGGCAGACATGAGAAACAACTGGGAAAGAACCCTGAGAGACGGGGAAAGCTGGGAGAGGACTGGCATGCCCTTTATTTTTAAAGTCTTTGGACTTTTGCATTTATATATCTAATTTTAAAAAATCTAGCCTAGTGGTGGCGTGTGCACAGGCGTGCGCTCACCTTTAACCCCAGCACTAGGGAGGCAGAGGTAGGCAGATCTCTGTGAGTTCTAGGCCAGCCTGGTCTACAGAGTGAGTTCCAGGACAGCCTGGGCTGTTGAGTAACCCTGTCTCAAAAAACAAAACAAACAAATAAAATCTCGCTAAGCGGTGGTGGTGAGCACTTTCAATCCCAGCACTTGGGAGGCAAGGCAGGTGGATCTCCAAGTTTGAGGCTAGCCTGGTTTATAAAGTGAGTTCCAGGACAAGCCAGGGTTACACAGAGAAACCCTGTCTTGAAAAACAAACAAAATAATAATGAAATAAATGAGTAAGTCATTTGGGTCTTTTAATTTTAGCATATTTTCGTTGGAGCCATAAAGGTTTCTGCAGTGTGGAAAAAGTGATGCTTGATCTGAAGAAGTCTCCGAGTCTCTGTATACGAAGCACTGACCTTATACCCTCCCACAAGAGCTGATTCGTGATAAGGTGAGAGCCTGGCCTCCAGGAATGATGGCTCATTGCCCTCCAAGGGTCACTCTCCAACAGGAGTAATTGGTGAGCTCTGAGGCATGTGGACATGCCAGCATGTGTGTTCCCTTCTTCCCATGTTTCCCTGGTGGCTATGGCAGTACTTCTGTGCTCTTCCCTTTCTTACTAGCTGTCCTCGTCATCCCTTCACCTCAGCCAGAAGCTCTGAGCACTAGGCCACAGGGAAGCCTTCTTGGTATTTTTCCTTTCGCTAGCTCCTGCTCAAACCTGACACCCACGGAAAGGTCAAGCACGTGTGGTTGCACATCCCCTGCCTGGCCCGCCCTGGCTGTTACCATGACAACCGCTGTATCTGGAAATGTCCTTAGCCATCTCTACCAGCACACTGAGTGGCTAACCCAAGCACTATTCTCAGAAAAGTCCTCTGGTCAGAAACCCTGGAGTTACAGGATCTTTGGGAAGATGGACAGACAGACAGACAAAAACCAACCAGATCGGTCAAAGACCTACTCACTGGCAAAGCCAGAGATGAGTATAGTTGAAGGCACAAAGAATATGAATAAACAAGAAAGCAACTCCAGCCACTGAGGACTTTTTTTTCTTTTCTTTTCTTTTTTTGTTTTTTTTTTGGTTTTTTTCGAGACAGGGTTTCTCTGTGTAGCTTTGGAGCCTATCCTGGCACTCTGAAGACCAGGCTGGCCTCAAACTCACAGAGATCCGCCTGCCTCCACCTCCTGAGTGCTGGGATTAAAGGCGTGCGCCACCAACGCCTGCCAGCCACTCAGGACTTTTGACTGAATTAAATCAAATGATCTGAGGTGGAGCAAGAAAAAGAAACAAAGGAAGGCACAGAGTACAACTAGGGAGAGATAATCAGCCTGAAAGAATAAGGGGGAGGAAGGACTACAAGAGCGAGTTCCAGGACAGGCTCCAAAGCTACACAGAGAAACCCTGTCTCGAAAAACAAACAAACAAAAGAATAGTCTCACAGGGCTGGAGAGATGGTTCAGTGGTTAACAGAACTTCCTCATAATCACCTGTATCTCCAGCTCAGGAAATCCACCTCCCCTTTTTGATTCCCATGGGCACCTGTACACACATAACACATACTCTCACAGGCACAAGACATACACATAAAAATCTAGCTGGGCGTTGGTGGTGCACGCCTTTAATCCCAGCACTCAGGAGGCAGAGGCAGGCGGATCTCTGTGAGTTCGAGACCAACCTGTTCTACAGAGTGAGTGCCAGGACAGCCTCCAAAGCAATAAAGAGAAACCCCGTCTTGAAAAACCAAAAAAAAAAAAAAAAAGGGGGTTTCATGTTTCATGTATCCTAGGCTGCCTTTGAACTTGTTATGTAGCCATGAATGACCTTAAACTTCTGATCCTTCTGTCCCTGCGGTGTGGTAGAATTACTGATGTTTACCACCATGCCCAGTTTATATGGTGTTGGGGGACTGAACCCAGGGCCATATTCATCCTAGGCTGAGCTCCACCAACTGAGCTACATCCCTGGCCCTAGACAAGATAATCTTTACTGTTTTGTCCTTTTTTGAATGACCTGGTCATCTAAGCCTTTCCCTGAACCTCTCTTCTGGAAGACATTTCATTTATTAATGATCCTTTTATAGTGTGGGTCCCACATGATGCTTTCGGAGTGGTTGGACTAGTGTTAGCCAGCTTTGCATACCTGTGATTAAAATACCTGAACTAGCCCAGTGTGGTGGCGCATGCCTTTATTCCCAGCACTCAAGAAGCAGAGGTATGCAGATCTCGGAGTTGGAGGCAGCCTGGTCGACATAGAGTTTCAGGCTAGCCAATGCTTCATAGTAAGACCTTGACTTAAAACAAAAATACAAACAACCAGAAATACATAAATGGGGCTAAGAGAGATGGCTCAGCAGTTAAGAGCACTGGCTGCTCTTCCAGAGGACCGGATTCAATCCCCAGCACTCACATGGCAGCTCACAGCTGTCTGTAACTCCAATTCTAGTGTAACTTTAGCTTCAGGGGATCCTCTTTTGACCTCTGAAGGCACCTGCAGGCCCTCGAACACACATATACATGCAAATAAAATAAATATTTTAAAAGAAGAAAATAGCTGTTGTCATTTTACCCATGCACGCGTGCGCGTGCACGCGCGCGCACACACACGCACACACACACACACACACACACACACACACACACACACACACACACTTACTTTTGGGATGCTTTTCTAGAATCTTGTTCTACTCTACCAATATGTAGAGTGTGTCTTCTAGACTATATCCTCCATCTTCCTAGATCTTATGATTCCATCAGACACCAGGACAAAGACCCTGCCATCCTGCTGAATCACAAGTGATTCTAAGACAGATGTAGGGTATCATGCCCTGCTCCTGCCACTCTCTACCCTTCCACTCAGTTGGTTGGGATTTTTGGGGGGTGTTCTTTTGTTTGTTTGTTTGTTTTGCCTCTAAAAAAACCCCGAATGCCCATGGTGTATAGAACAGCAGAGACTGAGGTTAATAGTAAATAGTATTTAAGCCTGAAAGTGTGCAGTGTCCCTGCCTGCAGCCTGCTGGTATAGGAGGGTTAAGTCAATCTGGTCAGAAGTCAGGCAGTTTGGGTTTCATTGCTCTCACTATCTCTCATGCACCCAGGCGTCAAGTTCCTCCATGTGGGACTGCTTAGGCTGGGCAGATGGCAGGGACATGTGCGTTCTTGTGCTAACCTCCAAGGCTCTTCAGTTGTCCCCACTTGCTGCGCCTCTAGTAGCCTGAGTCAGTTGTTGCTTATCTGATGCCAGGCTCTTAGCCACATGCAGGTAGGGTGGAGGGTGGGCCCTTGCTATCCCCATAATTATGAAAAAGAAACACATTTACTTCGTGTGTGTGTGTGTGTGTGTGTGTGTGTGTGTGTGCCTGAGTGTATGTGCACGCATGTGTGTGAGAGCTTGTGGAGGTCAGAAAAGAGCATGGATCCCCTGGAGCTGGAGTTACTAGTGGGCCACAATGTAGGTACTGGGAGCTGAACTTGGGTTTTCTCAAACATATGTGCACCACAGAGCACATGTGGAAGCCTTTCACAACACATAAAAATGACTTTCGGGTGAGGCAGTGGTGGTGCACAGCTTTAATCCCAGCACTGAGGAGGCAAAGGCAGGAGGATTTCTGTGACTTCAAGGCCAGCCTGGTCTACAGAGTGAGTTCCAGGACAGCCAAAGCTGTTACACAGAGAAAACCTGTCTTGAAAATCAAAGGCTTGCAAGAGTGGATCCTGGGGATTGAACTCTGGTTATCAGATGTGATGGCTATTCTTGGTTGTTGACTTGACTATCCCTGGAATTAACTAAAACTCAGAGGGCTGAGTACATCTGTGACAGATTTTTTCTTAATTAGGTCATTCAAAGTGGAAAGATCCACTTTATCTGGGCCACACCTTCCGGTGACAGCCTGTATAAAGGACATGGAAAAAGGAAGCTCTTTGTCTGTCTGTCTGTCTGTCTGTCTGTCTGTCTGTCTGCCTGCCTGCCTGCCTGCTTGTCCTCCCTCTTGATGGCAAGTCTATTCCTTCACTGGCATTAGAGACTACTTCTTCATGATACTGGCATATACCGAAGACCCACTGAGATATCCAGCCTCGTGGACTGAACAACTACCGGATTCTTGGACTTTCTGTTGGTAGATAGTCATTGTTGGACTTGCTAGACCACAGTCTGTAAGCTACTCTAATAAATCCCCTTTCTATTGATACACAGATCCATTCTATCAGTTCTGTTCCTCTAGAGACCCCTGACTAATAAATAGATCAGTCATGGTGGCTGTTGTCTTTACCCACTGAGCCATCTCACTTGCTCTCACCTTCAATCTTGAGCAGGTCCTATAATGCTGAGCTTCAAGAGTTAGAGCCTAGGGCTGGAGAAATGGCTCAGAAGAGTACTTCACCACCCTTACAGAGGCCCTGGGTTCTGTTTCCAACATCCACATCTGGCAGCTACAACTGCCCGTCCCTGAAATACTAAGGGACCCACTGCCAACTTCTTGGCATCAGCAGGAATCTGCATGAACATGGTGTACATAAACTCAAGCAGGCACAGACACACGTTAGGGCTTTCTCAGTTTCTTCTCCTTCTCCCCATGGCGACCAAACTCTTTTACCTGTAGCTGATTATAGGTGGCCATGGCTATTGTCCTCCCTGCAACACAGCAGTTCTTGGCTGATACTACAACCTACAGTTTCTTGCTTCTGACCCTGGGGCAGAGCTTTTCTTATCACTGCTTTTCCTCCCCCTCCTCCTCTGCTTTCTCATTGTCCTCTTCTCAGGGTCTGAGACCTAGAACTCACTCTAGCTCAAACTCTGTACCCTAGCCTCCCAGATGCTATGATTATAGGCATGAGCCACCATACCCAGCTCACTTGTGTGTGTGTGTGTGTGTGTGTGTGTGTGTGTGTGTGTGTGTGTGTGTGTGTTTGGTTTTTACTCCCCTCTCAAAAGCAACGGATCTTCGACTATGTTTAGTGAGTTTGTAGTTGCTAAAAACAAATGGGTCTTGCTTTATCCTCTTCCTGAAGCAAGAGGCTTTTGCCCCTTTCCCCAGTGACTTAAGGCTTTTACTTATAGGAAATGGTTATGAAAATGGTTGAGAATTTCTATTTTTCCTACAGCCACCAGCTGGACAAGTCCTGTGGGCTATGCCTCTGAGGAGAAGCTCTCTCCTGTCTCCTGCTCCGTTCCTGCTTTCTCTCAGGGCTCCAGGAGACAGCCTTCTTGAACCAAGGCTGCGGGTGAGTGTAGATTTCCTGTGTCTGAAATGGTGTCTCATGTTTTTTTTTGTTTGTTTGTTTGTTTTGTTTTTTTTTCCTTCTAGTGATGAATATCCAACCCAGGGCCTTGTGCATGCTACGCAAGTATTCCACCACTGAGGTACATCCCAAGGCAGTTTCAAGCTGCTCCAAACGGATATGATTATCCACTCATAGCCTTTACACATTTGTTAACATGTTTGTAGATTTCTCCTTACATACTGCATGACAGCTACATCTTTGCCAGAGTGGTCGTAGTTCATGTATGTGTACCTAGGGCTCTTGAGAGGAACTTTCCTTGACTGCCTATGATCACAGCTTTCTCATCAGTTTAAGAAAACCTATGGTGTAAAGAAAAAAAAAAAAAGATGGGCTGGAGAGATGGGGTCAGAGGTTAAGAGCACTGACTGCTCTTCCAGAGGTCCTGAGTTCAATTCCCAGCAACCACATGGTGGCTCACAACCATCCATTATGAGATCTGGTGTCCTCTTCTGGTGTGCAGATATAATTGGAAGCAAAATGATGTTTACATAATAAATAAATAAAATCTTTAAAAAAAAAAAAAAAAAGAAAGAAAACCTATGGTGGCCAGGTGGTGGTGGTGCATGCCTTTAATGCCAGCACTCGGGAGGCAGAGGCAGGCAGATCTCTGTGAGTTTGAGACCAGCCTGGAGCTAATTCCAGGACAGGCTCCAAAGCTACAGAGAAACCCTGCCTCAATAAACCAACCCCCCCCAAAAAATCAAACAAACAAACAAAAAAGAAAACCTATAGTGAAGCTGGGGATATATCTCCTTGGCAGAGACTTGCTTAACAAGAGGAAGGCCCTGGGTTGAATCTCCAGCATCACACACACACACACACACACACACACACACACACACACAAAACACCCCAAATATAAACAACCTTGGCTGGTGAGGTGGTGCCCACTTTTAATCCTAGTACTCAGGAGGTTGAGACAGATGAATCCTGTGTTTGAGGCAGGCAGCCTGGTTTACATATTAAGTTCCAGGACAGCTAGGACTACATAACAGAGAGACCCTATCTCCAAAAGAAAAAGAAAGAAAGAGAGAGAAAGAAAGAAAGAGAGGAAGAAAGAAAGAAAAAGGAAGAAAGGCTATAATTGGAGTGGCATACAAAAGAAATGAAAAGAGAATATGTAATTAGGCTACAGAAAACATTTCCCTTCCACCTTTCTACATCCTTTCTACATCCTAAGTGGAAATAAAAGTCCTCAAGCCATTACCACGTCTTTTTTAAACAAATGTACTTTTCAAACTGGACTTCCTCCTCCTTCCATACTGTAGCCAGTGTACTAAAATTTTGTAATCATCAGAAACTAGAACAGAATAGTTGAAATAAGCTATATGATATCTGAAGTCTAAATCGTGGTCATCCATTGACTATGACCAGGTAACAAATCTAACCCAAACTTAGTGATTTAAGTCGTAACATTTGGTTTGCCCATGAATTTTTCAGGGTTTGGCAGAGACCACTTGTCTTAATTCCACTTAGCGTTAAGTAGCTCTGATTAAAGACCAGGAATGAAAATAATTTGAATGAAGGTGAGGGATTGGTTGGAAAGGGTTACAGGGAGGGAGGGTAGGAGGGAAGGAGGGAGGGAGAAACAGATGGAGTGCTTCTGTAATAGCCTCAGACTTACATTCCTTGCGCTGCACTCCATTAGCAAGGCAGTGGCATAAAGATCTACCAAGTTCAAAGGAAGGGTACATGGACCTGACGTCTCAGTGGAGGGGTGTGCACATCGCCTACAGTGTGAATGTGTGAGATGTGATATACTAAACTGGCCATCATTGGAAAATACAACTTGCCAGGCTTAATTCTACTTGTCCTATAACAGAGAGAAAGAATTTAAGATAAATCAAGTTAGAAAACAGAACAAAACACAAGCCCTGTACTTGTTTCATCTCACGCAGCAGATATATTTATCAGCTTAACCAGGTCATGCCCAGAGTAGCACAGCCATCTTTCTAGATGCAGATATGATATTGTCACCGCCCCGCTTTCAGTGGCCCATCAGTGCCTTACCATGGTTATGAAGCCTTCTCTTATGGCCTTGCCTCGTTATTGTTGACTTCTCTGTTCTCTATGCTTCAGCTCCACTGAACAACTTTGTCAAGATTCTTCAAACACCCTTTTGCCTTAGGTCTTTGTTCACACTTAGGCCCCCATTCTCTTGACACTCTATTTTTCCCTGCTCCTACTGGTTCTTCTGGACCAGCTTCCCTAAGTGGCCTCTCTCCCTCACCTGCCACCAGCTGGCCTAGGGCCCTCCTCTCTCCTTGGCAGGTATTCCCAAAATGCCCTATACTAACACTTCCTTCTGTTGGGGTCTTATTATTTATCACCACATCCAGTGCCTGGAGCATAGCAGAGGCACAGCACACCTTGGTTAGATGAATGAATTGCTGCCTTAAATAGTCCAATGCTAGGCTCAAGTAAACAGTGCTCTTAAAGACTATGATTCCGATGACAGTGTCCTGTCTTGAATCTTGTAACTAAAGTAGAGCCAATACTAAGTGGGATAGTCTCAAGGAAATGTTAGCAGTTTCATGTGCCTTGGAGAGGCAGTATCTAAGAAGTGGCTCAGGGCATCTTTTCTCTTCCAGCAATCACCCAGTTAGGCAGGCTTACCTAGAAGGGATGCACCTTGGCAACAATTGGTGGGATACTTGTTTATGCTGTGTGAATGTGTCCAGAGCCTATTTCTGGAGCAGGTACTGGATGCAAGCCTGTGCCATTCCACCACTGACCTTGCCAAGGCCTGAGTGATGAGTACATGTGCCAGAAAAAACAGTGGCAGTCACTTAGCTTACTTCCCTGGCTCCCACTCAACCTTCCCTGGCTACACCAGGTCATTACTGCCTTATCCCTGGTGGGTAATTACCCTTTGCTGGCTTTGAGGTAGAGTACAGTCACTGCATTTGCTTTACCTTCTGATCTGTTTCAGTAAGGACATAAGGAAGGAAGGGAGTTGGGGTGATAAGGCTCTCCCAACTCACACATTTCACCGATTTGAGGAAGTTCTCCCTAGGGTTTCATGATGAAAGGAAACAGACCAGCATCTCAGGCCAATCTTATTTTTCCTATGGTTAGTCTAATTACTGCAAGGGAACTGGAACACAAAGAGGTCATTTGACTTATTCATGACCACACAGCAAGCCACAGGACAAAGATAGCACCCCAAACACTTGGTTTCAAATGTAGTGCCACTTCAAGAGCCTAGATAAACCTCTATGAATATAGAGTTGGCTTTGGAGCTCATATGAGATTTGGTTTAGGTTAATGGGGCCTCATCTTTTTTAAAAGAATAATTACTGAAACTGTCACCTCTAAAACACCTAAGAGCCCATAGTTAAAACTTACTGGAGTCCCTTTAATGGAGATTTGCCTCAGAATTAATCAAGATGATTGGAGATCTGGAACCTTCCCCTCTTACCTCTGCCAGGTTTCCTCTAAATCGACCTTCTGCCTTCTTGTGCCAAAATGTGTGTGTGTGTGTGTGTGTGTGTGTGTGTGTGTGTGTGTGTGTGTGTGTGTGTGTACAGGTGTCCTTAGAATCTAGAAGCAGGTGTTGGATCCCCTAGAATTGGCGTTACAGTCATGGTGAGCTGACTGGTGTAGACACCAGGAACTAATCTAAGGTCCTCTGCAAGAACAGCAAGTGCTTTTAATTAGAGCCATTTCTCCAGCCCCCAAAATATCTATTTTTGAGGTAGAAAATAGGAGGTAGAGGTAAGAAAAGGCTAAGATTTTGTCCTGATTACAGAATCCCCACTTTCTGCTATAGAAGAATCCTGTCTTTCCATCCTAGGACCGGCTGCTCTTTAGCACAGTTTCTCAGGACCTTGCCACTTTTCTTGTCATTATGAGGAAGAATGATTTACTTTTATCATACAGGATGAAGAAAAATCTTAGCCTTTTTCTTTTAATCCTCTCCATCTAGCTGAGGCCATTAGCTGGTCCTGGAGGAATAGTGAGGTCTGTCACCTGACCCATGGACAGAGGTGGCAGCTTGACAGGTTGGTTCAGTGCCAGATTCCGTCATTGTTCAGACTTCCCCAGGGTGCCACCAAAGGCTACCTTTTATGTCAAATATATCTTATTGACCAAGAGCAGTAGAACTAAAGTTAACACTGGGAGTCAATGACAAAAAGAGGTGAGAAGAGTGTGTCTGGAAAGTATAAAGTATTTCTGTCATTAAGTAAGTATATGGTATGGCCTGTTTGGCATCTATCCTTCTCAATAACGCAAATACTTGATTTAAAAATGAGCAAGTGTGGCCAGGTGGTGGCAGCACACACCTTTAATCCTAGCTAGCACTCAGGAGGCAGAGGCAGGTGGATCTTTGAGAGTTTAAGGCCAGCCGGGTCTACAAAGAGAGTTCCAGGATAGCCAGCACTGTTACACAGATAAACCCTGTCTCAAAAATAAATAAATAAATAAATAAATAAATAAATAAATAAATAAAACCCACAAGCAAACAAAAACAAAATAGAAAAAGAGCAAGTGTCCTCTGAAGATTTCAGCCACACTGCTCATCATTATGGATTCACTGTCACCCAGGAGCCACAACTCCAGAACCTTACCATAGAACATTTCAGTTCAGACTGTTGGAGGCATGTATTATTTGTTTATTTTTTATTTTTTACTTTTGTTTTTTCGAAACAGGATTTCCCTGTGGTTTTGGAGGCTGTCCTGGAACTAGCTCTTGTAGGCTAGGCTGGTCTCAAACTTACAGAGATCTGTCTGCCTCTGCCTCCCAAGTGCTAGGATTAAAGGCGTGCGCCACCACTGCCTGGCTGGAGGCATGTATTATAAACACAAAAACACAAAGTGAGTTCTGAGACAGCCAGGACTATTACACAGAGAAAGCCTGTCTGGAAAAACCAATAAAAAAAAAAAAAAAAAAGAAAGAAAAGAAAAGAGAGATGGACAGCAGTTAAGAGCATTTATTGCTCTTGCAGAGGACCTGGGTCCAGTTGCCAGCACCCACATGGCAGCTTACAACCACTTGTCACTTTGGTTGCAAAGGATCTGACATCTGGTAGTCATGGGCTCTTGCTTATACGTGGTATACATAAACTCATACGAGCAAATATACTTATGCATAAATAAAATAAACAACAAAGTCTTTTCATTTTGTTTTTTGAGATAGGGTCTCTGTATGGAGCCCTGGCTATCCTGGAACTTGCTATGTAGGCCAGCTGGCCTCACACTCACAGATTTTGAGCTAATGGCCTGCCTCTACCTTCCTGAGTCCTGAGATTAAAGCTGTGCCACCATGCCTGGCCAAATAAGTAAATCTTAGCAAACACACAAAAACAAGAGGCTGGCAAAGGCTGCTGGCCCCCCTCCATAGCATACCTCTGTCCTTACTTCCCTCCTTCCCGAGTCAAGAGTGCCATCCACACTACACAGCTGTTCCAATGAGAGTTTTATATCGACAGCTCAAACTTCACATGAACAACACAATAAACAAAGAGTTAATGCAAGCTCAGTCAGGAAAGTTGCCACAGGGAGCAAGTTTGGAACTAATCAAGAGTTGTGTCAAACACTAAACCATATATATTTACAAGTCTAATTTGGAACTTGATACAAAAAGAAGCTGGGGGAGAAGCCATGAAATGGAAAATATATCTACACAGATACAAACGCCCATGTTTTCACACTTCTTTTTTTCCCCATTTTTGACACAAGGAACAAATCAAAAGGAAAAGCCCTTTCCCCTTGAGTCCCTCTGTTTACGATGAGTATGTGAGAAAGCCCCACAAGGGCTTGGACTCCAGGAGGCTGACCTCACTCTCCTTGGCTACACCTGCTCCTGACTACTTAGCTATGGAATGCGTGACACACACACACATATGAAGACCCGGAAGAGAGAAAAAAATATGGCTTGCTTAACCGATACATTATATAATACAAGAGCTCCAGTGTCTCTGAGCACTTTCACACCCTGCTCTTGAGGGATCCTTGCAAACCTCTAAACTGCCGAAACAGAGCTCAGTGAAGCTTTGCGATCCAGCACACACTACTTCCAAGACAGTCACACATGCCAGCTCCAAGCAAGCCCTCAGGGGCCAGCAGCTGTTTGCTTTGTGGATTGGAAGTCTGGGCATTTTCTCTCCCTGGATTTCTCTTTGCTGCGGGGCTGTCAAGCTCTCCACCGTTCCCCCGGGCCCCAGACAGCTGCTTGGCTTATGTGTGTGTCATTTATTGTTCTCCTGCCGCTGGCTTGTCCCCGGCCTCAGCCTCTGTCTTCTCTGCCTGCGACTCTGGAGGGATGAGAAACTGGACCTCCTCTGTGCTGATGGCAACTTTATCTGGCTGAAGCCATCTTTTGAAATGTTCCAAGGTGCTACAAAAGAGCAGAAGAACCGCTAGGTCAGACCTTACCGATTGATTACTTAATGATTAGCTCAGTTACTCAAATACTGCCTTCCCGCCCACCACCAATTGCTCCCCGCCTCTGCTTTTCCCTGCTAACGGTGCAGGGACACCGGACAGCGGACAGCGTGCTACTGCTCTGACAGCTTGCATCCTGGCAGCTCAACAGCGTCATTTACCCCCTAGTGGGCACTTTGGCTCTAAGCAGCGCCAGAGCCCCTTCAAAGCAGGACCCCCGAAGATTTGAGGAGAATAGCTGAAGAGCTTGTGCCTCAGTTTTATCTTTTTTCCCCTCAAATCTGAAAAGAAGAGAAATTGTTGAGGGGATGAAACAAATATCAAATTATAGGTGAGACAGAAAAACAGATCTTTTTTACCTAAGACAGTGTGAGGCTCAATTACACTAATAGAGTTTATTTGTAAGAAAGGTAATTTGGGGGAGGGAGGATTAAGGCACCTTTAATCCCAGCACTCCAGAGGCAGAGGCAGCCGAATCTACAAAGTGTGTTGCAAGACAGCCAGAGAAACCCTGTCAAAACAAACAAACAAACAAACAAAAACCCTAGACCAAAACATCTGAGAATCCAATGTTTCTGCCAAGGGCTCTTTTCATTTGCCTGCGGAGAGAGGAGGGTCAGTTGTCAGGTTCCTGTCTCCCTCCCACCTCCCTTAATCACCCAGAATCCTATACCAACAGTTAATACACATTAATAGTAAAATATAAACGACTAGATATAACATGAACTCCATGCTATGCTCTTTAATGACATGTAGCAGCTAAGTATTGGTAGCTCACACACCCACAGTTCTCAGCACTCAGGAGGCTGAGGCAGGAGGAGTATCACAAGTTCAAGGCCAGCCTGGACCACAGAAAGAGACCACATTGCTAACCCACTTACCAAAGAAACAAACAGAAAGCATAAAGCCATAGGACTATGTGTTAAACAGTAGCATCTCTCACATGAGGAATCTCTTACCTGGCCCTCACGGAATGCAAAATTGCCTGTTTAAAATTGCAAATTTTAAGTTTGAAAACAAAAGCATAACTACTTTTCCCAATAGTTTCCCATAACTACTGTTTCCCATTTTGTTCTGCCAAATGACAGAAGCATTCCCACAGATGAGCACAAAGGTCAGAATAAACAGTAGGTTGACTCATACCCACAGCTCAAGAGAATCAGGTAAAACAGGCATTTACTCTTCATCTATGACCCTTTTCATGAAACTGTTCAATTATTTCTATAGAAAAGGGGAAGTCAAAACCAAAGGGGGAGCTCACTTAGTTTTATGTGTGATTACATGACCAGAGTAGTCTGACTTTAGAAAAAAGGAATTCTTTCTTGACTATGCAAGAGAAACTTTTGGCTTTTTTTTTTTTTTTTTTTTTTTTTTTTTTTTTTTTTTTTTGTGTGTGTGTGTGTGTGTGTGTGTGTGTGTGCTTTGTTTTTTGTTTTTCAAGACTGGGTTTCTCTGTGTAGCACTGGCTGTTCTGGAACTTGCTCTGTAGTCCAGGCTGGCCTTGAACTCAGAGATCCACCTGCCTCTGCCTCCCAAGTGCTAGGATTAAAGACATGCACCACCACCCCTAGCCAAAGTTTCCTCTTCTTAGAGTTGGAGTAGAGGGAGGGTTTTTGGAAGACAGAACATTATGACAAGTTATGAATGGGTCAGGAATCTATGTAGGTTCAAATTGTCTGTTTGGGGACTTTTAAGACTCACTTATGGCTGGGCGACAGTGGCGCACGCCTTTAATGCCAGCACTTGGGAGGCAGAGGCAGGTGGATCTCTGTGAGTTTGAGATCAGCCTGGTCTACAAGAGCTAGTTCCAGGACAGCCTTCAAAGCCACAGAGAAACTCTGCCTCAAAAACAAAAACAAAAACAAAGACTCACTTATGTCGAGCCATTACAGATAGAAAAATATATATTATCTTGCAAGCCTTCTGAGGGTAGCTGGGATGACCTTTAAAATGCTACACTGGTTTCTGAAGGATCTGAGGGCATGCTGACTCAAAATGTGAGAGAATGCAGGTGAAAATGATTTGTAAATTAAATGAAGTATGACTATGATATTTTATTCAGATCCTGGCCTTGGTTCCACCAGGATCATGACACGATCACATGACACGATGGGACTTTCAAAGTCAATATTAACTGTGTGTTGTGAGCTAAAGTTATATTCCCCTAAGGACTTTACTTAAAAAATTAGTTATTCCTCCCACCAATTTTTTAAATAGTGTGTGTGTGTGTGTGTGTGTGTGTGTGTGTGTGTGTGATGCACATGTGTGGTATATGTATGTGTGGGTGCAGGTGCAAGGCCCGTGGGTATACATCCAGAGGTGAAAAGGAGACATCCATCAGTCTCCACCTTATTCCCTTGAGACAGGGTCTCCCACTGAACCTGGAGTAGGTCAGTGATTTTTACAGACGGCTACAGTTAAGAGACTGCCTTGGGTTTCTGAGACTTTGGTCTTTAAAACAGTATTGAGATTGTAAGACTTTCAAAGTTGGACTAAATGCATTTTGCATTATGATACAGTCATGAGCCTATGGGCCAGGGAGTGAAATGTCATGGTTTGAATGAAATGTCTCTCATATACTCAGGCATTTGAATATTTGGTCTCCAGTTGGTGATGCTATTTGCAGAGGATTAGGAGGTGTGGTCTTGCTTGAAGATATACACCACTGAGGGAGAGCTTTGGGGTTTCAAAGCCTCCCATCATCCCAAGTTTACTCTCTCTGCTCCCTGTTTATGGCTCAAGATATAAACCCTCAACTTCCTGCTTCCATCTCCAGTTACCATGCCTACCTGCTGCCATACTTCCCCACCATGGAGGACTCTTCTCCTCTGGAACCAGAAGCCCCAGATAAATTCTTGCTTCTACAAGTTGCCTTGGTCAGGAGGTTTTATCACAGCAACAGAAAAGTAACCAATACACCGTCCTCCAAGCACCAAGCAGTGTCAGCACATAAAAGATGCTTAAAAAATATATTTGTTTGATCTACACAATTTTTTTTTTCAAGGCAGAGTTTTTCTGTGAAATCCTGGCTGTCCTGGAACTCACTATGTAGACCAGGCTGGCCTTGAACTCAGAGATTTGTCTGTCTTTGCCTCCAGAGTGCAGGGATTAAAGTGGTGCACCACCACTGCCCGGCTGACCCACACACATTTATTGAGTGGCTCTAACAGGACAGAAGCTCTATGGCAATGAAGATTAGAAAATAAAAAAAATGGTTCCAGCTACTGCTTCATTACTTCCTTCTCCAGTGCATCGCATCCTTAGAAATGAAGATGGTGGTTCATCCTCGACTCTACTAAATCTGTGGCCGTGATGTACCTGAGGGTATTTGTCATCCTTGAAAATCTACTGTTGCTCTAAGGGCAAAAACTGACAACCTTCCAAGGGCTGATTTCAGCTCAAAGAGACATTCGGAACCAAGGATACCAGTACTGTGATGTCACTATTCCTGAGTTCTCTAGTGAATGAAAGTACGCTCAGTGAAGCCAACTGTCAATTACCTCTCATCAGAATCAAGTCCATCCACAAAAAACTCGGACGCTAACTTCTCTTGGAGGAACCGATCCCAGCATTCCTTCTTAGCTTGGGCCAGAGTTCGAAGCATGTCCTTGGAGGTTACTTCCTCATTTAAACCTTTGATTCTTCTTAGTTTCTTCTCTGAAGAGAAATGGAGAAAAGAGAATGAATCAGTATCAGCTATACAGCAAATTCAAGGCTAGGCCAGGCTACAGAAGATCGTGTCTCAAATATCCAGCCAAACAGACCAGAAAACAAAAACATCAAAAAACCCTTTTACTGATGAACACATCCACAGTCCCTGAAAAAACAAAAAACAAAAAACCCCTTGTTTTTAGAGGAAAATGAATATTGACTGAACATGCTTCTTTTTCATTCCCGCACTGTCTTAAGTAAATGTTTAACCCTGGAAGAGGAAGAGCCATAGGCTCTCACAAATAAATCAGTAGCATTTTTGTTTTATTTTGTTTTGTTGTTGTTGTTTGTTGTTGTTGTTGTTGTTTTTGAAATCACAGAAGCCCAGAAGGTGTCTCTCTAGGGAACGCTTGTTTTTCCTAGCTTGGCATGTGTATTTCCATCTCCTGTTTTCAACTCTTTGAAAGTAACGTCTCTAAGGGGTAAATGGCTTTTCTTCTAGTTGCAAGGACATGAAGTGGTTTCCAAACCTCATGAGAGAGAGTTAGAGAAAATGGGAGACCCAATGGTTCATTAGATGCTAAAACTGATTTGATGGGAATACAATAATGAGAGACCTTTAGGATCTCTACATGGAATTAAATTCTTGATTAAAGAAAAATGTCTTCCAACATTTTAAAAAGTTTCTCAATTTGTGGCCTGGATGATGGAGCCTAATAAAGACAAACATCTTGTAATCCCTCTGAGAGTGGTTCCCAGGGCTTCCTGATGATAGATTCTTAATTACTCTTCTTTGCATTTTAATTGTTGAGGAGACCTCTTTTGAAGCACACAAGGAATGACATCACCATTACTTTCTGCCTTAATTTAGTCTTCAACTGTATAATTCAGTTATGTACATTGTAATGTTCTAGTCAAGGACAAGCCACATATGTTGCAGTGATTTCATAAGATAAGCGATGTCACACAACTCTTACTTTGAGTACGTACACTCTATCATGTTTACTGATGAAAGCACCTAACATTATCTTTCTCAGACAATAACCTGATTATTCAGCAGTATGTGAGTGTCACAGTGTGCACAGGTGTCACAGTAAAGGAGCTGCCATCCTCAAATCGGAGATCATCACTAGCAGCCTGCCCACTGTTGATGTTTCTTTAGACCAGTGGTTCTCAATCTTCCCAATGCTGAGGCCCTTTAATACAGTTCCTTATGTTGTGGTGACCTCCAGTCATAAAACTATTTTTGTTGTTACTTCATAACTGTTATTTTGCTACTGTTATGAATCATAATGTAGATATTTTTGGAGGCTTGCCAAAAAATAAAATAAACACAGAGGCTTGCCAAAGGGATCTGGATTCACAGGTTGAGAACCACTGCCTTAGAAGAGGGAGATGGTGGACCTCCCTCTGAGATTCTGGCTTTCACCTTCCTGCCCTTCCAGCCATTCTGCCCTACTTGCATGTGGGTAGTAGCCTCAAGAGGTGCTGCATTATATGGGCTGGGGGAGGCTGACTGAAGGGACTCCATCTACGAACCTGTTGGGGGAAGCCGTCATTCATATTGGGTGATATCTTTCAGGTTTAGCTGCTTTGGGGTCACCCATGCTCCTGTAAGTGGCCCCTCACCTATGCCCTGTAACCAAGCCCAACAAAACATTTGGTTCTCCAGGGTGAACTTCAGTGTTACAGTATTTAGTCTTGTCATTGGGACCCCATAAGGAAGGGGTAGACATCGTCTCCCCAGGAAAGGAATACTCAAAACAAGAAGCAATTGATAGCTGTTTGGAGGATGTACACTAATTTTAGAACCAATGGAAATTTTTATAATGTGCAGTCTTGTTTCCATTTCTAAAATCGTTACATCAGCTAACAGCCACTGACCAAAACAATAAACACCTTGTATTTCTGTCAGTCACCAGCAAAAGCTCACCTATGTAAAACACCTGAAGTTGATAAATGTTAATGTTTACGGTTTCTTTTAGTTTCTTAGCTGATTTTATAAAAGGCCAGTAGAGTTTTAACTTTCCAACCAATATTCACCAATCAACATCATCATCTCCAAGAGTCTTTCTTTTTTTTTTCTTTCTTTCTTTCTTCCTTCCTTCCTTTCTTTCTTTCTGTCTCTCTCTCTCTCTCTTTCTTTCGTTTTTGTTTTTCAAGACAGAGTTTCTCTGTATAGCCCTGGCTGTTCTGGAACTTGCTCCTTAGACCATGTTGGCCTCAAGTTCAGAGATCCGCCTGCCTCTGCCTCCTGAGAGCTGGGATGGGAATCAAAGGTGTGAGCCACTACCACCCAGATCAAAGAGTGTTTCTTATAAGCCCTGGTCACGTGCTACCTACAAGCCACAGGATCTGGTTCTTCCCCCAGCTTTGCCTCTTATCACTGTGGGGCATATGTTCTGTCTACCACAAACAGACCGCTTTCATCCCTTGGCCATGGCAGCAGGCACTTACTCTTCTCAGTTAGCTCCCTTACAAATCTCACGAGGACTCCACATCATGTCTTTCGTCTTTCCAACTGCATTTTTCTTGTAACTTTTCCTCTAGTCATCATTAATGAAACTTCCTTTGTTCTCCCAAGATATTTGTTAGCAATCACCTAAGCTGTCTCTTCTTTGTGTCCTTCTATATAGGATCTCCTCCTTCCTGTGTTCAGTAGCAGATTGATTGCCTAACAGAGGGCTTAGATTTGACTCCCACCACTGTAAAAATAATAAAAATATTTTAAAACTCCATGGGATTGGACTTCTTCAAATAGTAATTTCTAGATTTTGTTTTGGGACACATGGATTTTGCCATAATGACAAGCATTTAGGGAGATGTATTCATCCTGATTTAAACAGTACAGAATGGATAGATGAAATGAAACATTACATGCCACTAATCAAAGCAATAAATACCTTGTGGTCCTTTAAATTACCAGCAAGAACTCACCCTTAAAACAAAACAAAACAAACACAAAAAAACACACTGTAGGTGATACAAGTTAATAACTAAGGGAGTTTCATTTTTTCTTGAAGGAAGTAAAAGGAATGATGAATATCTAACATTTAACTAATTTTTGTCTTTTAGAAAAAAAAGGTGCCAGGCGTGGTGGTGCATGAATTTAATCCCAGCACTTGGAAGGCAGAGGCAGGCAGATCTCTGTGAGTTCAAGGCCAGCCTGGTCTACAGAGTGAGTTCTGGGAGAGCCAGAGAAATCCTGTCTTGGAGGGGGGAAGTCGGGGGGTGGGGCATGATTGTTTAAAACCCTGCAAAAAGAGTATTGGGCATGGGAGTAACTGTCAATCCTACTGTTGTCACTATTCTCTACAAGATAGGATATTTAACAATGTTAATATAGAGTTAATATATAGAATTTTTATGGTTTTTATGTACCAGTTAAAAAATATATTTAAAGGAGCAGAGGGAAACTGGATGTGGGCAATTGCCCTTGTAATCCCATCACTCAGGAGGCAAAGGAAGGAGGATCAGAAATTCAAGGTCATCCTCAACTACATAGTAAATTCAAAGCCTAGCCAGGCTGTGGTGGAGCACACCTTTAGTTCCAGCACTCAGGAGGCAGAGGCAGGTGAATCTCTGTGAGTTTGAGGCCAGCCTGGTCTACAAGAGCTAGTTCCAGGACAGTTAGGGCTACACAGAGGAAACCCTGTCTCAAAAAAAAACAAAAACAAAAAAAACAAACAAAGCCAAACTGGGCTTCATGAGACCTCGTCTAAAAAGTGGGCAAGTTGGGTGGGGAGGAGACAGGAATATGGTACAACTTTTGTCTGTCTAGTATCTATTAGATCTTGAGTTTGAAAAGCAGCATAAATAAGTAAATACCATCGTCAAAGTCAGTCTGTGATGGTTTGAATGAGAATGGCCCCCAAAGCCAATATATTTGAATACTTGGTTCCGAGTTACTTTTCTATTGTTGTGAGAAAACATCATGACTTTTCTGGCACGACATTCCCATACCACAATTAGTCTTTGTAATTAAACAGTTTTTTTAGCCAGGCAATGATAGAACACACCTTTAATCCCAGCACTCCGAAGGCAGAGGCAGGTGTATCTCTATGAATTGGAGGTCAGCCTGTCCTACAGAGTGAGTTCCAGCATAGCCAGGGCTACACAGGGAAACCCTGTCTTGAAAAAACAAAACAAAACAAATCAAAACAACAAAAACAAAAAGGTTTTTAAAACTTCAGTCATAGCCGGCGTTGGTGGCGCACGCCTTTAATCCCAGCATTCGGGAGGCAGAGGCAGGCAGATCTCTGTGAGTTTGAGGCCGGCTTGGTCTACAAAGCAAGTTCCAACAGCTACGGCTGTTACATAGAGAGACCCAGTCTCAAAAAACAAACAAAAAAACAAAAAGAAAAAAGAAAAGGGTTGGGGTGTGGGGCTCCTTTCCAGCAAACAACCTGAGACATCCTCTAGAGTTACATCTGGCCCACATGTGACAAGTACAAAACACATATAAATATATATATAAAAACTAAAGACAAACTTACCTCCCTAAAAAACACAGGGGCTAGGGTGAGGGCAGCAGAGAGGAAAGGGAGGGAGACAGACAGACATACACATGCAGAGACAGAGAGACCGAGAACTTACCTAGAGATGCTAAATACACTTCTGAATCATGCAAGGGAGCCCAGGGCTTTACAGCTGGCTGGCTGGGCTCCATGTGGCCTTCACCTGCAGGATGTGAATCTGTAAAAGAGTCTGAGAAGGCATTGCCGGCAGCATCCTCTTGGGCAGGATTTGGCAGGCAAGAACAGATTTCAGCCCACAGATCCCGGCCAGACTTTGTAGCTGAAGAGTCAAGGCTCTCAAACATTTTCATTTGGAGTCTGGGCTGAAAAAGACAAAGAAGCTCAGTGAGTAAAGATTAGCTCCAATACAGTATAATGCTGGGTGTGGTGGCAATGCCTTTAGAGCCAGAACTTGGGAGGAGGCAGAGGCAGCCAGATCTCCATGAGTTCCAGGACAGCCAGGAATACACAGTGAGACTTTGTCTCTAAATAAATGAAAGAAAGAAAGATGACTCAGACATTAAGAGCACCGGCTGCTCTTGCAGCAGAGGTCTAGAGTTTGGTCTTCAGCATCCACATGGCAGCTCACAACCATCTTTAACACAGTTCCAGGGCATCCAATGCCCTCTTCTGGCTCTGTGGGCACCAGGCATGTATGTGGTGCACATACATACATGCAGGAGAAACACATATAACATAAAAAAATACAGTATAGCCAGGTGTGGTGGTGTTACACATTTAATCCCAGCACGCACTCCTGAGGCAGAGGCAGAGGCAGATGGATATCTATGAGTCTGAGGCTAGGCTGGCCTACATAGCAAGTTCCAGGTCAGGGCTTCATTATGAGACCCTGTGTCAAAAAAAATTCACACACACACACACACACACACACACACACACACACACACCCTGAATCTATGAAGGAGTCTGAGAAGTGCATTAAAGGAGCCCAGGGGCTTTACGGCTGGCTGGGCAGAAGATTTCTGCTGCTTCCAGATGGCCTTCACCTGCAGGATGAGAACCCATAAAGGAGTGTGAAAAGCTACAGCCCAGCCCTGCATTTTATATATTCAATAAACATAAGAATATCTCTGATGTTTCCACTGTGCACAAGTAGCTAGCTACTCTGTTCCCTACAGATCTCCAACATACAGCTGTTTTCATCATCAGTCAATTAAAGCCTGTCTTCAGCAGGTCACAAACTGACAGTCATACATAAGAAAACAGCAAAAAAAAAAAAAAAAAAAAAAAAAAAAAAAAAAAAAGAACAACAACAAAAAAAAGGTGCTTGGTGAAGAGTGTCTGTCAAAGAGTCCTATCCTAATGCAAGGACATTCACTCACTACAGTAGCAGCTGGGTTATATACTTCAAGTTCCTCCACACCCCTATTCATACTTTTTACCGCTTATTTTTTGTTACTATTTTAGCTGCCCATATTTATGTGTAAAGTGTGATGATTCAATAAATGTATGCAACATGTAATCACCCAGATAATTAGCACTGAATACAAACAGAAAGAGAGGCATTTTCATCATTTTACAGACACAGTTAGGTGTGGTGGAGCACATCTGTGTCTGTGACGCCTGCACTCAGAAGTCTGAGGTAGAAGGATTGTGAACTCCAGGAACTGGTGAGGACGAAGGAAGGGGAGCAGGAAAAAGATGAGAAAGAAGCGGGAAGAAATAAGATCAAACGAGCAGTTTGCTCAAAGCTGCATCGCTGGTATTTGATGTTTTGCTTCCAAAATCCTTATTTTTACACAGCACCAACACTCTGCCTGCTTGGGAAACACACTGAGCCGCCCACGCTGAGATAGATGAGGAGGGCTATGTGCAGAGCCTAGGGATTTCCATAACCATCTAGATTTATAGACTAGGTCGACAGCTTCTTGTAAGAGGGCTTTTAAAGATCTGGAAAGCTGACGAGGGCAAAGTCTGAATAATTCCAGCAGACAGTCCAGACAGCGCGAGGGCCCAAAGTAAGAGGAACAGATACGTCACGGGATCCTTAGACTCTCCATCGAAGTCCTCTAAACACACCCAAACCCCAAGTCTGCTTTCACCTAGGAGCCCGCGTGTCCCTGACCCCGGAACGTCCAGAACACCAGAGGAAACCGAGTGTCCAGATCCCAGGCCTCAGCCACCCCCGGCTTCGAGAATTGACTGGCCTTAATAATCCAGTTCCTGATACCCTCCGTTGTGTTCCGGGGTCAGGCCATAGGACATGCTAAACACTGGACACCGTGGCCCCTCACCTACCGCAATCACCTGGCCGGGCAGTCTCCAAACGCCCGGCTTTGGTCTGTCGCTGGCAGTCAGGAAGAAGCAGTGAGGGGCGGAGTCTCTGAATGACGGAGTCCAGGAGTCCTCCAACTGATGCCTGATTTTCTGGCATCCTGTGAGTTGATTGGTAGAATAGAGTTAGTGACGCCCAGGGGGCGGGCAGTCGGTGGGCGGAACTAGCAGTTGCCAGGGAACGGTGGAACCGCTTATCCGGAGTTTCCTCTCCAAGACAGGACTGATTCTTAGCAGGTCCCAGAGTTCCAGCTTTCCACCCGGCCATCTCGACTCGGATAGGGAAGCCAGTTTTCTAGACTTTTCTTGGTCCCCAGAGGTCTTGATTTCTAAAACCCTTCTGAGAGACGATGCCTGCCTGTTTTATATACCTAGGTGCTTCGCGAAGTCCCGAGGCTCTAGGTTCAGTCCTTTCCACCTGTCATTGCCTGGACTGTTTTCAGTGTATTTCCCAATCTTGGGTAAAAATACGGATTTGGGGGGAGTAAATCGTGTATCATTACCTCCCAGACAATTCTGGGAATATTTGTGTTGTCTTTATTCCTTGGCTGCCCCAAGTTAGAGCATGTCAGTGACACAGAACTTCAGGGCCTCATTCACTAACTTCTAAGACTTTCCTTTATTTATTTGAAAAATACCAAGCTCCTACTCTGCTATAGGTATTGTGAGTGTGATTTCAGGACACACAAAACTGGGTATGGACCCCAAAGATTCTTACAGCTTAGTGTATGAGGAGCTCCACCAGGAGACAAATTTACAAATGCCACAAAAGAGTTATGGAGGATGAAGGTAGTGTGGGGATGAAGAGTGGGAGGGGGATAAAAGGAGGAAGGGAGGAGAGAGAGAGAGAGAGAGAGAGAGAGAGAGAGAGAGAGAGAGAGTTTTTATAACACCTGCAATAGCCAGGTGTGGTGGTGCATACCTGTAACCCCAGCATTCTAGAGCTGAGGCAGGAAGTTGTGGAGCTCAAGGCCAGCATGAGGTTTATAGTTAGTTCCAGGTTCAACTAAAAGTAAAATCATCTTACACATCCTCCAAAGATTATCAACATATTCCTTTAGTTATTCCTTGTTTCCAATGATTTTTTTAAAAATTATGTGTATATCTTCCATTTGGCGTCTGTAAAAGTCAGAAGAGTATGTTGGATGCCCTGGAGCTGGAGTTGCAAGTGGTTGTGAGAGTTCTCTGATGGGGATGCTGGGAATTGAACCTGGTCCTCTGGAAGAGCTGCAAGCACTCTTAACAGCCGAGCCCCATTATTCCCAGTTCTCTAAGGCTGTTACTCTAGCACAAAGAAAGACGTGATAAAACACATCAGCCAATCAGCAGTAGAGTAGCTTTGCTGAGGATATTGTCTTGAGATGTGTCCAAATCCCATCATTAAGGCAAAAGGTAACAGCAAACTACTATCATGGTGCAAGTGCCACCACAAAATACTCAGTTGCTCAAATCTGCAAATGTTCTCAGACTATGAACTGAAAGAAGCGTGGCAATGATTACTCACAGAATAGAAGAAAGGAACCTGGTGTTACCTGGTTCTCAGAAAGGGGCATGGGAATAAGGTTCCCAGTGTTTCATTAAGGTGCATGCCAAGTCTTCCGGAGTCACAGACACTCTTTATATTGATTGGATGCTCACCAAACACACATTCTTTTCTTTCTTTCTTTTTGTTTATTCAAGACACAGTTTCTCTGTGTAGCCCTGACTGTACTGGAACTCCCTCTGTAGATCAAGCTGGCCTCAATTCAAATATCCACCTGCCTCTGCTGCCGGAATGCTGGGATTAAAGTCACGCACCACTACTGCCTGGTTTCCAAACACATTCTTGATTTGCAATTTGGTTTCACAGATATCTGGATGCAGGATGAGACTCCTTTAAACAGTAGCTGTGAATAACCCAGTTGCTGAGAAAGTACAGTTTCTTAAATTTACAATCACAAATTAACAATTTAGAACACGACCAATTCATTTAAGTCTCCAAATTTGATTCATGTGATGGACCCTCCTTAGCGCTTTGTTGAAAAGCATGCACCACTATGCCCAGCCCTCATTGTAAATTTTTTTGTCTTTTCCTTCTTTCCTTCCTTCCTTCCTTCCTTCCTTCCTTCCTTCCTTCCTTCCTTCCATGTATGAGTGAGCCATCTGCATGCAAACCTGCATACCAGAAGGGAGCATCAGATCCCATTATAGATTGCTGGGAATTGAACTCAGGACCTCTGGAAGACCAGCCAGTGCTCTTAACAGCTGAGCTATGTCTCCAATCCATAAATTTCTTAATAAGACCACTCATTCAAGAGATAGTGTTTTCCTTTTGAAACAAGTGCTGGTATTAACCAACTGGGTTTCTTCTCCAGCAACAGGGAGTTTCCAGAGGACTTTGCTTCCCTTGACTTGGTCTCTTTGCTGAGTCTATACTTTAGCTCTTTTGTGAATCCTAAAAGGCACCAATATCCTTTCTGTAATTCCCTCTCCGATGAAATTAGCTAACATGGATTTCAGCATTCCTCATTTAAGAACTGTGGCATCTTGGGGAGATAGCTCGGTTGGTAAAGTGCTTGCCATGCAACACAGACCTGAGCTTGATCCCTAGAACTGACATAAAAAAGGGTGAGCGTTGTAGTACATTTTTGCAATTTCAGTGAGATATTGCGGTGCTTTGAAAGAAAATGGCCCCCAAAAGGAGAGGCACTATTAGGAGGGGTGGCCTTGTTGGAGGAAATGTGTCACTGTGGGTGCTGACTTTGAGGTCTCTTTTGCTCAAGTGGCCCTCCATGTAACGTTTAGTTGACTTCCTGTTGCCTGCAAGCTGTAGTACTCTCAGTTTCAGCAGCACGTCTGCCCGCATGCCACATGCTCCCCCATCATGATGATCAGGGATTGAACCTCTGAAACCATCAGCGAGCCACCTCTATTAAATGTTGTCTTTATAAGAGTTGCTGTGGTCAGCGGGGCGTTGGTGGCACATGCCTTTAATACCAGCATAGGGGAGGCAGAGGCACATGGATCTCTCTGAGTTTGAGACCAGCCTGGTCTACAAGAGCGAGTTCCAGGACAGCCTCCAAAGCCACAGAGAAACCCTGTCTCGAAAAAACAAACAAACAAACAAACAAACAAACAAAAGAGTTGCTGTGGTCATGGTGTTTCTTCACAGCAATAGAAAACCCTAAGACAGAGACTGTCGCAAAAAAACAAAATGGGTAGCACCAGAGAAAGGACATTTGAGGTTCACTTCTTACTTCCAAACACACTCACCTACACAATTGCACAAAAGCAGCACACACACACACATACATACAGAAGGAACTAGCAATGCATTTTTGATCTATTTGCAGGTTTCCCCTCAGATTTTTAAAATTTAAATTAGAAACAAGCTTGTTTTACATGTCAAGCCCAATTCCCTCTCCCTACCCCATTTGAAGTTTCAATGTGCAAACGGTTCTGGATACAAGTTTATGAAAGTCAAATGGAAAATCTCTAGTTCTTTTGGTTCTGTTGGTAGGAAGGACAGGTGTGGAAAATATTGTTTCTGGTGTGTGTGCATATAACACACACACACACACACACACACACACACACACACACACACACAAGCTTTATCGAGGTATATAACATACCATAATGTGCACCCTTTTAAATCATACAGTAGTAGTAGTGGGTATAACTACATAACTTAATGGTAGAATGCTTGGGACTCTAGGATTCCCCAATATTGCCCCTCAAAAGAATATAGTACACAAAATAGTTCTTGGTACAGTTATAGTCATAGCAATTTTCATTCTGATTGGTCTTTTTTTCCTGCTTATTTGTTTTTATTTAATCTATTCATTTTGTTTTTGTTTTTCGAGACAGGGTTTCTCTGTGTAACCCTGGCTGTCCTAGAACTCACTCTGTAGACCAGGCCGACCTCGAATTCACAGAGATCCACCTGCCTCCCAAGTATTGGGATTGGAGCCTGGCGCCACCACCGCCAGGCTTTTTTTTTTTTTTTTTTTTAAAAGACAAAAAATTTTTTTTTTTTTTTTTTTTTAAGAAGACAACAATTATCATTATTTTGCTTGTTTGTTTTTATTTTGAGACACGGGTCTTGGGTAACCCTAGAACTGAAACTAACGCTACTTCTGCCTCTGCCTCCTGACGCGGAGGCTGCAGGTGTGCGCTGCCTTGCCCACTCTACTACCTATTTTAAGTAAACTTTGAACTGTTTTGCAGACCTGGGGAAGTAGTTCTTCACTCTATGGAATTTGTATCATCATCTCCATCCAACTCTTTTACATGGTGCCCTCCCGAAGATTTCCTTTAGAAAATAACCTCTGATCTCTTTGATGAGGGGAGTCTGTGTACAGTAACGTGCTGCACTAGCCACTGGAGGGAAGGCAACCTCGGACACCTAAGTTTTCCAACTCGCTTGCTCCCTTCTTGCTAACCCCGCGCCTCTGGGTCTCTCTGATTGGTTGCTTCCGTATGACGCCATCAGATTGCGACCCCGGAGCGGTTGGCCGGGCTGTCATGTGGCGGGGTGTCCACGGCTGCCTAGGGATCCTTGTGCAGTGGCGGGTGGCGCCCTGGTCCCATAGCTTTGCCAGGACTTGGAGTGGCTGTAGGGAGACGATGGCTGAGGCACTCTCCACCCAGGCCAAAGCAGCGGGTTTGAAGGCTCTGGTTCAGCATAATGGAGACTCTGGTAGCGATCAGAGCAGAGAGCGGCTCCTGGAGGGCCTGGATCTGGCGGCGGTGGGGGAACAGGTTCCCGGGAGCCGGGAGCAGGGCCAGGGAGGCGAAGAGCAGGTCTCGGGGAACGCGGGGCAGACCCCAGCTCCAGTCGCCGACTCAGGCAAGAGGAAGAAGCGGCGAGGCGCCACCGGGGAACGGGTTGTGCCGCCCCCGAAGAAACGGCGGACGGGGGTCAGCTTTGGCGATGAGCACTTCGCAGAGACCACCTACTACTTCGAGGGCGGCCTGCGCAAGGTTCGGCCCTATTACTTTGACTTCCAGACCTACTGTAAAGGTCGCTGGGTGGGCCGCAGCTTGCTGCACGTCTTCAGCACCGAGTTCCGATCCCAGCCACTGGAGTACTACGAGGCTGCAGTCCGGGCGGGACGCCTGCATCTCAACGAGGAACCAGTTCAGGACCTCAGCATCGTGCTCAAGGTGGTGTCCGATGGGGCTGGACTCGTTTAGTTCCCGCTTCCCAAATCCTCAAGCAGGCAGTCTTTCCATGACGTAGAACTCAACCCAGCAAGGTGGCTTGTTTTTTAAGAAACAGAAATGGAAATTTTCATGTTCCTTTTACATCTTCCTGTGGCAAAGGGGGGGGGGGGCTTCCTACTTTCTACCCTGTGTGATAGATCTCTATACAAATAACAATATCAGATACCTCATTCGTGTGTTCTTAACTGTGTCAGGCACAAAGTTAAGCACCTTGTGTGCTACTTGTTGCTACTCAGTTTTCTTATGGAACTTAACCTCACAGTAAGGCAACAGTGCAATTTCCCAAGTGTGTGCTCATACTAATGCTTAAAGGATTTGTCATGGATCCTGAAGTTATAGAATTAGGAATTCAGGGATAGATACTAGCCAGGTGCTGTGGCTTTTTTGTTTGTTTGTTTGTTTAAACCCCATGAGACCCCTGTCATTAAGACTGGCTCACCTTGATGGTAAGAAGAATAAGGCAATTTTCAGATTTGGCAATAACCTCTCCTATACTGATTTTGAAAACCACAGGTCTGTTGTAACCTTCACATTCACAGGTAAGAAAACTGAGAGGTTATGTAGTGAGCTTGTGTCAAATGTGGATGTGGAGCCTAGAGCTCTGGGCTTACAGCCTGATGTTGTTTGTTGAAGGTTATAACGGTAACAAATAGAGGTTCCCCCCTATTTAAAGGACATTTGCTTTCAAAATATATTCATATTAGTTGGCTAGATGGCTAAGCAGGTAAAGGTCCTTGCCACTAAGACTTACAACCTCTTGCCTCGGTGTGTGCCTTTATACATGCACATACATAAATTTTTTTTAAAGATTTATTTATTTATTTATCGTGTATTCAGTGCGAGCCAGAAGAGGGCACCAGATCACATTACAGATGGTTGTGAGCCACCAAGTGGTTGTTGGGAATTGAAGTCAAAACCTCTGGAAGAACAGTCAGTGCTCTTAACCCCTGAGCCATCTCTCCAGCCCCACATACATAAATGTAACAAAGAATTTTTAGCCGAGCATTGGTGGCACATGCCTTTAATCCCAGCACTCAGGAGGCAGAGGCAGGCGGATCTCTGTGAGTTCGAGACCAGCCTGGTCTACAAGAGCTAGTTCCAGGTCAGGCTCCAAAGCCACAGAGAAACCCTGCCTCGAAAAAAACAAAAGAAAAAAATAAAAAAAGGAATTTTTAAAATATAGCTTTATTGTACAGATTATACAAAGAAGTAAAATCAGAAAACATCTATAATCTCACCAACAATGTATTTTTCAACACTTGGTGTATGCCTGTGTTTATTTTTACAAAATGAAATCATGCTATACCTTCTTTTTCTGCTTAAGGCTTTGCTGTGTGACCATTCCTCCATGCCAATAAGGAATAGAGGAAGCTGGGTGTATAGTAGACTGTTTATAGACTGCTGGCCTCAGCCTGACTGCTTACTTATTTCTTTGACAGGACAATGACTTCTTGCGGAACACAGTGCACAGACATGAGCCACCAGTCACAGCAGAGCCTATTCGCCTGCTAGCTGAGAACGAAGACGTGGTTGTGATAGACAAACCGTCCTCCATTCCTGTCCACCCCTGTGGCAGATTCCGACACAACACAGTCATCTTCATCCTAGGCAAGGAGCACCATCTGAAGGAGCTACACCCACTGCATCGACTTGATCGACTCACCTCAGGAGTGCTCATGTTTGCCAAGACAGCTGCATTCTCAGAGAAGATTCACGAGCAAGTGCGGGACCGGCAGGTGAGCTGGGCTTTGTCTTCTGGAGACTGCTTCCTGGGCTCCCACATGCTTTGTGTTAGAAAGGGGTCTTGAAGTTCTAGATTGAGGTGTAGCTACGACCTTCCTACTTTGAAGAGGCTCAGCACCTAAAGGGCCAAAGACCAACTATCCTGCATGTTTCAGGTTTTGAGGAGAGCTTGCTTGGTAGGAAAATTAGATAAAGTTGGAAGAGTAAGGTCATTGGCTAGTCGTTATTATGATCTTGAGACTTGGAATTCTGCATCTGGATCATGACACATTTACAATGAGCACATGCCAGACTTAATCCCCAACACATTAGAAACGAATTTACTAAATGCTTATAGCAGCCCTGTGAGGTAAATGTTTTCTGATTTTATATTTTTTATTAGATGTATTCGTTTTATTTGATATGAATATTTTACCTGCATGTGTGTATCTGTGTTCCACATGCGTGCATGGTGCTTGCAGAGGTCAGAAGGGGAACAGATCCCCTGGAATTGAAGTTAGGGATGGTTGTGAACAACCACATAGATGCTGGGAACTGAACCCAGGTCCTCTGTGAGAGCAGCAGATAAAATTAACTCAGAGCTATCTCTCCAGCCCCTGATCTCATACTTTCTAGTTGAGGTATGTACGGAGTTTAAGTTACCCAGGGTGGTGAAACTGACAAAGCTGGCATTAGGGTTTGAATCATCATCTTTCAGATTCACTGGTGCACTCTGTAGAGGGTTCAGATTCTGCAATTTGGCTTTGGACTGACTTTTCCCCCCTTCCTCCTTTGTAGCTGGAGAAGGAGTATGTATGCCGGGTTGAAGGGGAGTTCCCTGACAAGGAGGTGATTTGCAAGGAACCCATCTTAGTGGTGTCTTACAAGGTAGGAGTGTGCCGTGTGGATCCCCGGGGCAAGCCCTGTGAGACTGTGTTCCAGAGGCTGAGCTACAATGGCCACTCCAGTGTGGTACAGTGCCGACCACTTACAGGCCGTACTCACCAGATCCGAGTCCACCTGCAGTTCCTGGGCCACCCCATTCTCAATGACCCCATCTACAATTCAACGGCCTGGGGTCCTTCTCGAGGCCAGGGTGGCCACATTCCAAAGACAGATGAGGAACTTCTCCGGGACCTGGTTGCAGAGCATCAGGCCAAAGAAAGCCTGAATGTGCTAGATCTCTGTGAAGGTGACCTGGCCCCAGGACTCATGGATTCTACAGCCCCTTCTTCAAAGTTAGCCAAGAACAGCCTGGAAGAGTTGGCTTCAGTAGCCCAGAAGATAGAGAGAATAGCAGAGGCACCCTCTCAGGATCTGGACACACCAGAGAAAGCAGCTAAAGCAGAAGTTATGAATCAAGAAACAGACCCACTCTGTGCAGAGTGCCGGCTGTCGCGACAGGATCCCTTGCCCCAGGATCTTGTGATGTTCCTGCATGCCCTCCGCTATAAAGGGCCAGACTTTGAATATGTCTCACCCATGCCAGCCTGGGCACAGGATGACTGGCAGGAAGACTGAGGGATGTGGCCAATGGAAGAGTGGCTTCTTGGGTTGTAACGGGGCAGGGACCAATCCCATTGGTTGATACTCAGGATTTGGAGAAGAGTGAGGTTTCACTGTAAAGGAACCTGCTTGCTCTTGCTACCTCCTTCCTTTTAGCTCATTTGAGGACTTTCAGGTCTGTAAATATATCATTTTTTTCTAACACATTGTGTATCTGTTTTTACTGGTCTTTTTACAACTCCTCCTCTCCCTCGGTGCTTAGGGTAGAATCTAGGTCCATTCACAAAGAAGGCAAATGCTCTATAGCTAAACTCCATTCCTAGACCCGTCATACTTTTGAGTTTCTCTTTGTAGCTCAGGCTGCCCTAGAACAGTGAATCCTACCTCTGTCTCCTAACTGGGAACACAGGCATGAAGCACCATGCCTTGCTTTTTTAAAAATTGAGATAAAATTCACATAGCATAAAATTAGCCAATTTAAGATATACAGTTTATTGGCATTTACTATGTTCATGAATTTAAGCAAACTTTTCTCATGATTTCAAACATTTTCTCACCCCTAAAGGAAATCTATACCTGTTAAACACTCATTCCCCTTTCTCTTCTCTCAACTTCTAGTAAACATTAGTCTATTCTTTTTTTTCCAGAAGTTATTTTTAATGTGTATGCTAAATAAATAACATTTTAACACAGGATAAACTATCAGATATTTATCTAAGTAAAATGTATAGAGGTTCATTAACAATTCAAATTCTAAAATCAACCCTCTTCATAGGATAAAAACCTTGATTAAAATTTTCAAGTTTAATTCTATTCCTCCTTAAAAATTTCATTTTCTTATTGGACAAAATAGACCAAAATTACCTTCAAAATGAAGTATGGCTTGAAATTAATCAATTACTTCAATACCATGATGTATGAATGCAACTTAGTCATCATTCTTATTTAACCACTGTCCTTAACTCAAAATTCAAGTGAAACCTTGTATATGTATACACCCACAGGAGACACTAACCAAATTCCTCTGCCCTAAGCAGGAGTAAGTATTAGCATTCAGCTGAAGCAAATCAACTTTTAGGATTTAGACAACAAACATGATCTTAATTCAAGACATAAGATTTGCAGGGACTACCCATTCCCTTTACAATGGACAATGTTTCTGACTTGGAGGAATAACCAAAAACAAGCACAACTTCCTATTAGGCATACAAATCAAAAATCATGACACCCCCCCAAATAAATCTAGCCAATAATTTCTTTAAAATTTAATTATAACCTTTGCTTCAAGAAACCACAATAAAGTTTAAATGCTTCTGTAACAAAGACAAAGTAGCCCTATGTGCAAGTATGAAAACCAAATTGTTCCAGCAGTGAGATTGCTTCATTAGTCTATTCTTTATGGATTTGTGTGTTCTAGGCATTTCATATAAATGGACTCATAACCTTCTGTGTCTTTTTTTTTAAAGATTTATTTATTTATTTAATGAGTACTGGCGTTTTGCCTGTGAGGGTTTTGGATCTCCTGGAACTGGAGTTACAGACAGTTGTATGTTGGTGGGAGTTTCTGTCCCGCCAGCAGCTTCCAAAAAACACTTAGGCTTATATTAATTATAAATGCTCAGCCAATAGCTTAGGCTTATTACTAACTAGCTCTTATATTTTAAATTAGCCCATATTCTTTACTTATGCTCTGCTGCATGGTGGTACCTTTATTCACATGGTACATTCATCTGCTCCCTCTGTGTCTGACTGGCAACTCCTAACTCTGCCCTTCTTCCTCTCAGTATTCTCCTAGTCTGGCTCTCCTGCCTAACCTTATTCTGTTTAGCTATTGGCCAGTGACATATATTCACACAGTGTAAAGAAGTACCCCATAGCAGTTGTGAGCTGCATGTGGGTTCTGGGAATTGAACCTCAGGAAGACCTGCCAGTGCTCTTAACCACTGAGACATCTCTCCAGCCCCAACCTTCTGTGTATTAGTGTAGCATAATATTTCTAAGATTGAACTAATTTATAGTGTGTATTTTATTCTCTGTGTGTGTGTGTGTGTGTGTGTGTGTGTGTGTGACTGAATAGTATCCCATTGCATGGGTATTGCCAAATTCTGTATATTCCTTCATCAATTGTTATTAACAGTGTTGTTGTGAACATCTGTACAATGCAAGGTGTTTACCTATTTTCAGTCAGTACTCATATTGGCTTGAATGGTAATCATGTTTAACTTTTTTTTTAAAGATTTTATTTATTTATATGTATACAACATTGTACTTCCACGTATATCTGCACACCAGAAGAGGGAGCCAGATCTCATAATGGATGGTTGTCAGCCACCATGTGGTTGCTGGGAATTGAACTCAGGACCTCTGGAAGAGCAGTCAGTGCTCTTAACCTCAGAGCCATCTCTCCAGCCCCTCATGTTTAACTTTTTGATTAAACCACAAAACTGTTTTCTATGGCAACTGAACTAGTCTATTCTTGCCAGCACTGTACAGAGGGTTGCAGTTTCCTTACATTCTTGCCAACATTTATTCTATTCTTTTTGTTTGTTGTTGTTTTCTTTTGTTTTTGAGAGAGAGTTTTTCTGTCTGTGTATGTAGCCCTGGCTGTCCTGGAGCTCACTCAGTAGGCCAGGCTAGCCTCAAACTCACAGAGATCCACCTGCCTCTGCCTCCTGGGTGCTGGGATTAGAGGTATGCTCCACCATCGCCCAGGGAACTTACTCTTTTCTATATGTTCTATTGATCATATATCTCTTAGTAAATGTGAATTAACAGCTCACATGGAATTTAGTCTTTTTATTGTTGTATTTTTTTATTATTATTCTGGACATGAGGTCTTTCTAACAACAAAGGAATTAACAGCCCAATTTAAAAATGTGTAAAAGGGTTCTGGTTAGCACACACACACACACACACACACACACACACACACACACACACACACACACAAGCACCAAAGAAGGCTGGAGGGATGTTAAATGCTCTTGGAGTGGCTTACAACAACCTGAAACTCCAGCATCAGGGGATGTGATCCCCTCTTCTGGCCTCTGCCAGGGCTGCATAGTGAGACTGTGTCTCAAAATAATAACAAAGATGGAAGCAGTACAACTTAACGAAACTGACCAGGTTTTAGAATGGCATGTTCAGTAGAGTCAGAGCTGTTTCCACCATGGCAGAACCCCTGGCTTCCACAAAGTAAGCATTATGCATGCCCTTTCACTCCAAACCCATTAACTCTCCTTATCCTTAACTCTCCTCTTTTCATGTGACACTTGTTCATGTTTTCAAAGCCATGTTTTTTCAACCATTAGCCACATCAAAAGAATTGGGTAATATCTTTCTATTTTTTTAAGCTCTGTGTGTGTGTGTGTGTGTGTGTGTGTGTGTGTGTGTGTGTGTGTACACAAACTGGCATACACATTTATAAGCCTGGAACTTAAGTTCTCAGGCTTAGTGGCAGGCACCTTTACTTCATGAGACATCATGAGTCATAAGGTTCTTAAAAACACTTAAGTAATTTGACTAGGTGGTGGTGGCTCACACCTCTAATCCCAGCACTTCGGAGGCAGAGACAGGTGGATTTCAGTGAGTTCAAGGAAACTCTGTCTTGAAAAAGAAACAAACAAAAAACACACTTCAGTAATTCAATTAAAATACAAATGATATAATTAGTCTGTTTTTTTTTTTTTTCTTTGCAAACATTCCCTCATTTGAGCAGTTCCAGAGAATACCTGAATTCACTCTTAAGGCATTCTCCTATAGGAACCACTTCTTCCTAAAGGTAAGGAAGAGGCCAAGCTGACTCCTATCCATCTACCACTCAAAACCAATCTTCACTGGGTGTAGTGGAGAACACCTTTGGACCCAGCACTTGGGATTAAAGGATCTCTTTGAGATCTAGTTCAGTCTGGTCCACATATTGATATCCCCCCATCTCAAACAAACAAACAAACAAAATAACCCAAACAAAAAACTAATTTTTGCAAGTCTTGAAGTCTGTTTTCTCTTTCTCTTCTCTCTTTTCTTTCTTCTCTCTCTCCATCCTTCCTTTCCTTCTCCATTTTTCTTGAAGGATCTTGTTACATAGCCCAGGATAGCCCCCAGATATTTTTGTTGGCCTCATATTCACAGTCTTCCTCCTTCACTTCTCAATTTCTTGGGTTATAGATAACCAGCTATAAGTTTGACTTGCAGTTTTTTTTTATTCCCAAATGCTGGAATTAAACTCATGTTCCACCACTCCAGAAGATTTCTTATGTATAGTAAGACATAGAATGTAAGCAAGCACACACAACACACACACACACACACACACACACACACACACACTATTCATTGAATGTTTTTCCTTCAGAACTAAGTCATATAAGAGTTGTTGATGGCCGGGCATTGGTGGCGCATGCCTTTAATCCCAACACTCTCGAGGCAGAGACAGGCAGATCTCTGTGAGTTCCAGGCCAGCCTGGTTTCCAGAGTGAGTGCCAGGATAGGCTCCAAAGCCAGACAAACCCTGTCTCGGAAAAAACAAAACAAAACAACAAAACAAAACAAAACAAAAAACCAAAAGAGTTGTTGGATGTGTAATCATCCAGCATTGTGAGGGAATGAGTCTTCCTGAAGCTGGATCCAGAGGATGAAGACCCATTTCTTGGCACTCAGTAAACTCTGTTAATGTCTTGATTATGATTTGTGCATCAGTTCTTCCTCATAGTTTTCCAGAGCCTGGGGGTTGCAGTGTCCTGTAATAGTTCAGGATGATGGTATGAGGAGTAACCTCTGTTGATGACGAGGGTTCTTTTGCGAAGATGGGATTTAAAAATAAGTTGCAATCATTTTTGTCATCCAAATCTGGAAGTTGCAACTGATCCAGTAGATGGCGCCTCGAACTCCAATTTCTTTTCTATTACTAATTCAAGTAATTTCCCCCTCCCAGGCTTTAAAATAATGTGGCATTGTTGATTATTCTCACTCCCTTAGAAAAAAAGAAGCCGGGTGGGGGACAGTGGTGGGGGCACACGTTTAGTCCCAGCACTCGGGAGGCACAGGCAGGCGGATCTCTGAGATCAAGGCCAGGCAGGTCTACAGAGCTAGTTCCAGGACAGGCTCCAAAGCTACACAGAGAAACCCTGTCTTGAAAAACCAAAAGAGAGAGAGAGAGAGAGAGAGAGAGAGAGAGAGAGAGAGAGACAGAGAGAGAGAGAGAC